GAGGCGTGTGGGCCGCAGGGCTCCCCGCCGGCTCGGGCGGTTGGTAGGTGGCAGCTTCTCGGAGCGGGGACATCGCTTCAGCCCGTGACCGGGGCTGGATGGAGAGGGAGTGGGAAACTCTCCGTGTTGGCTTCTGCCTTGGAGAATTGAGGTAGAAAGAGCTGGTTCGAGCAGGTGGTTCGACTGTGGAGCAGGGATTGAAAGAATTATGTCTCTTCTGGTTGTTCTCCATCTACTTCGAGCTCCCGAAACGCCTTCCCCGCCTCCCTCGAGAGATGAAGGCTCAAGAGTTTGGTAGAAGCGTTGTAAAGTGCTAAAAAAATAAACTTTTTTTTTTTTGGTAGAATCTATGTTTTTGCTCTTTGATAAGATTCTAATGGAAAGACTTAAAACCAAAGTTACCCAGGTGTGTTATCATCGTGTTATACGTCACTAAAACAAGGATGTTAAAATCACGCTGTTAAAAACTAACAGGGTCACAAGTATCTAAAATGCCTTTAATTGTAGAGATAATAGAGTATCTTTAAACAGGGAAAAATGTGCCTGGGAAGAGCTCTAGGCTTTCTCTCAAATATTTAGACAGGTTTTCCAGTTTTCATAGTCAAATTGATGAATAGGTTGCTCTCACATCAATCTTTATATTTACTTTTGTAAATGTGTGTATATTTGTAAAGAAAAAGACTATGGCAATGAGGACAGCCAGAGGAATGAAAATGAAGCATTTCACCTTAGTTTGTTAGGAGACAAGTACCTGGAAGAAGAAACTGGCTTTGCTGTACGCCTGGGTGATCTTGAGGTAGTATAGGTTGGTACGTAAATCTGAACGATTCGGTGCCTTTGGTGAAGTGATGTAACTTTATGTGTGTTCTTTATTATTTGCTATGAAAAATTAATAGAGTTTTATTCTTCGTAAGTATTCACTCTCTTGTGGGTTGCCATCTGGCAAAGGTTAAAAACAAATCTATGGAGTATCAGTAAGTTGGAAGTGGAGGGATGCTCTGTTCCACTCTGTGGGGTTTTTGTGGTTGTCATTAGAGACTTATGATACATATCCAAATTAAAATACTGGATTTGGCTGGGAACGTTCTGACAATTGTCCTGTTCCATGTAACTCCTGGGAAAAATAAATCAAAAGAATAGGAGACAGTTTTCTGTTCTACCTCAAGACATCTAAGAGGTAGCAGAAAGCTGTAAACCTGTGCTTCTTATTCTGTGAAAATATGAAATGCATAATTTTTAATTTTACTTTAATCTGACTAGTAGATTCTGATTTTATGATAGAGGAGGCATATTTTTATATATATATATTTATGTATATATACATGCATCAGGTTTTTGCATATAACCTCCTCCTTTGATTACCTGTTCTTGTTTTGAGGCTTTTTCCTACATTCAGGGCATGTTTCCTTATTTTTACTCCAATTTTTGAAGCAAGTGTACAGAGTTTGCAGTTTCAGTGAGAAACAATATTTAACGGCTTGGAGATTAGTATACATTAAATATATGGTTTTATTATGCTTTAGTTTGTATTCTGCATCTTTTGAGCTGAAGATAGTAAATTCTTTGTAGTGTAAGAAGTAGCTTTTTAACTTTTTTTTTTTTTGGTAGAATCTGTATTTTTGATCTTTGATAAGATTTTAACAGTTTGAAGTAGATTGTTTGGCAGTTTTATTATTACATTTTGATTTGTTTGACTCTAGTTGTACCATTAAAAGACATAGCTGTAACAGTTTTCTGCTAGAGAGCATATAATACATTTCTTCAGCAAATAATTGCTATTCAGTTTTTTCATCAAAAATAATGCCATGTCTGTTAGGTGCTTTGAGATAACCAGTGGGCTTTTTTTATGCCTGTGAAAAATACCAACCTGCTGATGGCAGTGTCAATAGTAGTGTCAGGAAATGTCAGTGGTAGTACAGGAAATCTGTCTCTTTCCATTGACCTGCCCTCCTTCCAGAGCATTAAGGCTGGTAATTTCTAATATCTGTAATTCTGGTGATGTTTAGATCTGTGTTCATATAGAATTCATCACCAGAAGATGTCATCTAGGCTCGTGGCTTTTGTAACTGCTGGATTTAGGTCTGTTGCTAGGACTGAGTGATTTTCTTTCAGTTTCATAGGGCTAAGGTCAGAGCAGTGATTCAGATAAAAGCAGAACTAGTAGTAAAATGCAGAACAGATGTTGAATTAAAAAGAGTAACTTAAAATATTTCCTGAATTCATTAAAGAGAAGGGTTTGTTTGAATCACTTATCAACTGACGTTCTGGAGTCACTGTACTGGTTGAACGTGTAATTCCAGCATTTCTTATGGCTCACATTTGTTGTAGATGTTTTTCTCCATACTTCTTTCCTAGTCTTTGATATAACTTCATGATCCTGCCATTTCTTAATTCTTGGGAACTTCTGTTAGAAGATTTCATAGGTAAAATATCTTTTAACTTCTTTAGCTAACCAACAGGTGATTTTCCTTGTTTAATACATAATAAGCTTTGACGTAATTTTAATGAAATTTTTTAATAATAACCAACTTGGGTCATTGAGGTATTTTTAATATACCCAGTAAATTGATAAAGGAGGAGACAACTCAATATAGTGAAGCCTCTTTTACGTAGTCAAGGTGATGCTGCTTTTCTTTCAGGTTGATTCTTTGTGATTCAATAGAAAAGAGTGAAACTTCCTTGGAATAATTGTGCCAGTGTAAGTGTTCACTTCAGTTTTTAAACACTTAGGCCTTTGTCTTCAGACATCCGAAGTAAAACAATTACTGCCAGTCAGGAATTGGACTACTTTCATCACTCCCAGTATAGCTTTCTCTTTTATATTTAACACAATAAACTCTGTTGTGAATTTCTAAAACAAATTAATCAAATTTGTTAAGTGAACACTGTAACTTTTTCAGGGTTTCTCACTTCTAAGTTATATTGCTGTCTTGAGTAGTTTAATCTGCATGTGACTGATGTCTTGTGATCCTGAGCTAATTCAGGGTGGTGCTTTTGCATTTCTTCATTGTGTTTTCATTATTATAACTGAATGCTACGGAGTAAATCCTGCTCCTTTGAGAGGATATTTCCCATTGAAAGCTGAGATAACAATGAGGATATAGTAGTGTTTTACACTAAGGATTTAAGGTATTTCCCAAAATAAAGCTGTTTTTTTTTTTCCCTGCTTTTCTATTTTTCCATCACTCCACCACCATCAACTCTATGCAGATCCTGGGGAACATTTTTCATACTTGTTTTCACATTTTTAAAGTTTCAAAACCACTTCAGGTGAAGAACAGAACAGAAAAGTCTGCGCTGATATAGAAGAAACCATGATCTCCCAAAGTTGCAGGTGCTTCAGCATGTGGCAAGTTTTTTAATATGTGGTATGGCAGCACGCTTAATGCCAGCGCTGATTAAGACAATCATTAAAACAAATATTCACATGAAGCTGTATTTGGGTTCAAGCTTTGTGTAATGTATGATGGTTTTTTCCAAACTGATGTTCTAAGTAGACATCAAACTCTTATGACCAAACCTGTATTTCCGTGATTCACATGGTAACATACGTGATTCGAAAGGTTAAGCAGGTGATTCTTAATTGCAGTTATTGCATTTTCATTTGTTGTTGACACACAGTTATTCCAAACAGACAGTTGTTCTCTGAATTGGAAAGGAGATGACATTTTATCTGAGGTCGTGGAGAATTCCTGTAAATAAAATCAAAGTGTGTTTTGCCAAAGCAAGAGAGTCATTCACTGACTTGGAGTACGTACATGTTGAATGGATTAGAACTTAATTTACCATAAGGCAGGATGGAAGCATCACTCACCATGGCTTTGAACACAAAATTCCTCCTGATATTTTAGAGGTAACTGTTGTTGTTAGTGATCTCTCACTTTTTCTTTACCACTGTAATCTGAGAAAATCTCTGCGTTAAGACAGGAGAGGTTCCTAAAAGGCGTGCTGTTTAAAACAGGTGTGAAAGGGACTTGTTTGATCCCCTATTTGATCAAGCACAACACAATAGTAAAATCCAGATTTTACTGGAGTGAAATTTTTATTTCTGCATTAAGACTCCCTTTTTCCTCTGTCTGTCCCAGGTGGCAAAGCTGACTGCTGTTTCTGCGGGGCTGCCATTTGCATGTTTTACTGTATATGCAGCAACAGAAAAGGAATCAAAAAGTCACCTGGTGAAGCCAGATCAGGTAAGAATCTTACTATTGGTCCATCTTTAAAATAAGACTAGAAGAATCTGCAGAATACTGTCTCTTTCCATGGTATTATATTACCCAGTTAAGTAAAATAAATAGCTATATGTGATAATAAAAATTACCTCCTAAGTAACTGACCACTGTAGCACAAATAAAATGTGAAGTGTTACAATAGCAAGTTAGTGTAAGTCTTGTCTTGTTTTCATTATTACATTACTTAGAGACTGAAGCCAGAAAAGGTAAAAGAGTATATAATATTGATAACAGTAGTCTTTTTCCGTTGTACAATTCCTAGAAATATGTGTGCATCTTCCAGCTATTCTTGCTCGTGCCTTTTCTGAATAAAAGATATTTTTATCATACTCAGTAATTCTACTTCTTAGAACCTGTACAATACTTTCAGTTTTCAGTTCTGTGTAGTCATACTTGTGTAAAGTCACTTTGTAAATACAGAAAAACATAACTAATTTTTTGTTTTGTTTGCTGTGATGGGAACACTAAGGATTTGCAGTCTTGAAAAACACTATTCAGTGTACGTGCTAATCAGGATACAAAACTGTCTCTGTGCAGTACTGTTATGCTTTTCTTTCCAGCTTCCAATTTACTGTCCACCACCTCTGAAATCGAAATACATTGAAGAACAGCCCGGTCACTTGCAGAAGCAATTTTCTTCAGTAAGACAGACAGCTGGCCGCTACATCGGATGGTGCAAAGTAAGAAATAACCTGCATCCACAGCTTCCTACTGAAAAACCAGCATACTTCACCCTGGAGATTTTGTTTCTAGTAAACCTATAATTTAAGATGCAAAAATGAATCCTTCTCTCACTTTTCTCTACTGTGCTTTTAGCTGTGAACCTGTACGTTCTCCTTGTTTTCCAAATCCAAAGGCAGTGAGATCAAAGCAGTCCATTTCAGTCAGTGCTCAACTGGATCTAGGCCAACCCACAGAGTCAGGTTCAGAAATATCTCGTGATTCACTTCTACAGCAAGAGTTATGCAGGTAACTTTGTGCTACCAGAACTTGATAGCATTGAGAAGTCTGAAATTCCAGGTACAGTCCATGGAGGGAGAGAGAGGGCTGCTTCCAAAGGGCAGGTTAAAAGTCCTGATTTAGGTACTTGAGGAAAGACAAACTGAGTGCATCCAGTGTAACTGTTAAAGCAGGTTATTACTAGCTAGTCATCAAAAATACCTCACAACTCTGTCATTGAATATTCCAGGCGTAGAAGGAAATGTGATGCCTGTCACCATTCTCTTAACTGCTGGTAAATGACAACTTTTTACCCTGGCTGTTGTTAGTATAAGAAATTTTACGCTTGTATTTTTCTCTTACAAACAAAATAAACCCTATTATTTGCAAAAGGCAAGGAAATAAAAACGTCTTCCTGTATTTTCTGCAAGTTTTGATTCCATTGATCTGTGAGAATTGTCAGTGACTGCATAACTGAAATAATTTAGTTATAAATCTGTATCAGACTTTTCCATGCCCTTAATCGAGTGTGTGTTTCCAAGGTTGACTAGCAGAGACCTCTGGTGGTACAAATTCTGTGTTACTGCAGACAAATGATTTTGGTGAAATAACTCAAGATGATGTTCTTTTTCAGGAATCCCCTAAAGAACGTGTATTTACTCAATTTGCTTAGCAATCTGAGGACAATGATACTAATTATGGGCTAGTAGAAGGTTTTTTTTATGGTTAAAGAAAAACTTGTAATTAGATAAATGGACTGATTTGAAGGGAGTAATGCAAACTAGTTGGGCACACAGATCTTGCTTGTCTTCAGCAAAACTGAGCACCATTTTTACAAACTAAAAGACAAAGTAATTTTTACTGCTGAAGTCTCTCTAGGGAAGAGGAGATTGTATTTTAGAATTGACTTTTCTTTTGTTATACATTTGGCTTCCAAATGTTTTGCTACCCTACAGTTTTGTTCCCAAGATGTCAATTTTGAAAGTGATCTTACTATAGTAAATATTTTATTTTAAATTAAATATGAATGGAGGTTTTCAGAATAGAAATATGGTAGTTAAAAAAGGGGTAGATCTCAGCACAGTCCCTGTAGAAGTTCACTGATCTGGTTTGATGTTTTTAAAGCTACATGGTATTTCTTTGTCTCATTGTGCTGAGCCATACATAGTTTTGTACTGAAAACATCTACTTTTGCAGTGATTTTGCATTTATTTTGTTTTCTTTTTTTTTTTTTTTGTAGAATGTTTTTGTCTTTGTTAAAAATGGAATAACGGATTCAGTTCAATTTGGAAAAGGTAGGCAAGTCACATATTTCTGAATTGAGCATTTTCTGTTGTTTCTTCTTGCACAGGTGGTTGAAACACCAAATTCTAGTTACAGAGGTGAGGAGAGGGGGAAGGAGAGTGCACTGGAATACTTCCCACATTCATCATTTTACTTCCATCTTCACATCTTAAGTAGGAAATAAAATTAAAGGATTAATATTGATTTGCTATGCTTCATTTTTCTTTTTTTCTTCTTTTTTATTTAAATTCTAAGATGCTTACGTTTACCTGAAGAATCCACCCCCAGAATTTCTTCCCAAAGTTGGTGTAATTACACTGTCAGGCTTCGCTGGCATAGTACTGGCAAGAAAAGGTAGGTTTTTTGGTTATTTTCATTCTTGGTGTGTTGAATATGTAGCATGTAGTAATTTTAATGGTCAAAAGATTTATCTGAAACATTAACAAAAACCTATGTAAATAGTATTAAAAAAAATCCTTCCTGGTAAAATGAAGGGACATTATTAAATACTTCTTTTAGAAGCTGGCTAAGACCTAATAGACAGAGCAGGATTATGTAGTCATTTTTAATGTTGAAATCAACATAAATTCAGAGTGGGACACTTGTTTTGAGTTTGTTCATTATTGGTTTTCAGAAACCATATGTGTATGGGGAGAAATTAGAGGTAAATTAACAGATATGGTTACCGAAAGTAGTGAAAACTACGGGGATTTAGAGGGAAGAAGCAAAAGAACCTTGGCATTTGGGTAACAAGTACAAGAGAATGTACAGCTGAAGACATTGTTTTGGCAACTTTGAAGATAAAAGGGTAGTTTAATAGATCCAGCTGCCTCTCCTTTTAGGATAAATATTAGAGGAATAATACTTAACCTGCCTGAAAATATTGTTCAGAAAATATTAATCTGTAATATTTTAATACTCATATAGACACACACTTCACAAAGCAAATGAATTAATCAAAATATTGGCAGAATAGTAAAAGCATTCTTCTTGTATCCCTGTTACTTTTTGGTGGACAGATTTAAAAAAAAACAAAAACAAAAACAAAAATTACTTGGGCTTGAGAATCTGTCATCAGGGCTCCTTGTCAACAAACAGGAACCTGAGCCTGGCCCAGCCCTTCTCACGTTTGAGCAGAAGCCCCAGTTTCCAGGCTCCTGGCTGCTCCAGACTCTGCAGTCTGTCTCCTGAAGAGAGTGTGTATGGAGCTAGTGAAGAACCACTGCAGCTCCTAAATGACACAGATGTTCTTTTAATTTTTCACAATGTTGGAATATCTAGTTTGGGATTATTCCCCATTGAAGAAACCAGTGTTCTGCTGAGAATATCAGTATCTCCTGCAGATGTAACTGTACTAAACTATCATCAGACTCTCTATTCTCTCCTGCAGCCGATATGGGGAGAAATTTGATGTAAGCAAGGGTTAGGGGTTAAACAGCTGCTTTTAATTGATACAACTGTTAAGTTTTACATTTCGTTAGTGTCTAATTATTTGAAATATTTGGCTTTATATAGATTCTAGATTTAAGAAAATTGTGTATCCACTGGGACTTACAACTTTAGGAATTTCTGTTTGTTACCCAGCCCAGTCAGTGGTAATTGCTAAGGTAAGTTTCCTTCTATTTTTATGTTGAATTAAGAGTGAATTTAGTCATAGCATTCCCATTTCACTTGATTTAAAGTGTGATGAGATTAGGAGTCAGAATTCATATGCATCTTCATGAAAACATATAATACATCACAGGTGTTAATTGCATAACTATAAAAAATGAATAAGATGACTGAATTTAAAAATGCAGTTGTATAGCCTCTCAATTTTTAATCCTCATTTCTCAAATAAGTGAAGATTATTTTATCTTGCTGAAATAAAAATAGATAAAAAGTAAAGCCTTGCCCAACTTGATAGATATGGCATTTGAGATACTGTACGATTGTATCTCTTGTTAGAATTCCTTGTTTTCCAGTTACTGTCATCTTGCAGTTGTCTGCCTGATCAGAATATGTCTTAGCTGTTTATGTAGAAAAGCAGAACTACACTTAATATTTTGTCTGCAAGCATTGTTTACACACAGTACTTTTCTACACAAAAAGTGAATTGAAAAGCAGGATATAAAATTTATATATCTCCTCCTTCTCTATAGTTTTCCTGTGTTTTCCTATTTAGAAAAGCACATGCTGCTTCATATGAATTCTTCGTAGTTCCTTGATGAACTTTGTATGTACAGTTTCAAAACTGCACTTCTGTGTTAAATTGGTGAGATAGGAAAGTTTAGTTTAGTTAGTTGAGTTTGGTTCTAGGACTTAACAATCTTTTAGTTACATGATCAGATTTTTTT